ACCCTCAAATATACCCTGAGCCCACTGTCCCCCATCCTCAAATCACCAGCTCTCCATGGCCATGACAGGCATGGGGAAGGCAGACATAGGGCCCTACACATAGCTCAGCCTAGACTAATACCTGTCCATGACTTTCTGCTAGGCTCAGACTTTGCCTACAGCTCAAGAGGCCTTGGTGAGCACCCACTCACCCTGGGCATGTGGCCCCTGGGCTTTGGAACCAGGCTTCCAAGTGGGATGCTGGCCCAGGTGCTCATGTCATTTCCTACTTATGTTCTGGTCTTGGCACTCAGGGCACCTCCTTAAGAGGTGTTTCCTGAACACTCCCAGGGGCTGGGCCATGCTCTGAGGCAGGAATGAATGTCTGTCATCTGCCCTTGCCCCAGGGGCTGCAAAGTCCCAAAAGGCAGAAATGAGTCTCAGCCCAGCCTCCCCTGATGTGCCTTCCCTGGCTCCTGGACCACCACCCAGCCTGCTCTCACTGCTGCTCATTTGGTGAGGACCACCCAAACCTCCCTGGCCCCACATCAACCTGGTTCCTCTCTGCCCAGCAGCCTCGGAATGCACCCCTCACCTCTGCCCCGACTCACCCTCCACCTTCATGATCTGGTAGGTATCCTGGACCACCTTGTACTTGGGCTCGTTCCGGAAGGCGTGCGCCCAGGCCTGGATCAAATATAGGATTTTGTTCCGGACGTTTACTTCCACTTGTCTCTGCAGAATAGGGAGGAGGTGGAGGGCAAAGAGGCCTCAGCATGAGAAGTAGCTAGTAGGACCCCACGAGGCTGGTGAGGCCAGAAGAATCCAAAACTGGGATGAGGGGGCCAAGTACCAAACCATTCATGGACCCGTTGGGATTGATCACTCATGCCTGTCTACGCTTGCTCAGGACCTTAACTCTTCTCTAAACCCTGCAAGCAACCAAGAGGCCCCTTGAACCAGAACCCGCCAAGTCTCTGCTCACAGCTATGAGCCTCTTCCTCTCCCTGCAGGCCCCTCCAGCCTCTGACAAGGCACAGCCAACCAGGCCCAACCACAGGAGCACCAGTCAAGGCCACCCACCCTCCTTCTAGTCACAGCCTGGGAAAGGCTAGAGAGCAGCGCCCCTGAGACACCTCCAGAACAGAGCAGGCATCCCAGAGCCAGCGCCAGGTCAGAGTCCAGAACACTCAGGGATGCCACCCACATGCAGTGCTGAGCACAGATGGCACAAGAGGCTGCTTCAAGGTGACACCACCAGCAGCCCTCGCACTGGGGCTGAGTTCACGTCTATAACCCACCTATGTCCATTACTCAGTTCCTTTGCTACACTCAGAGAAATGGATCAGCACAGAGACTTCACAGCATGACCTGGACACAAGTATGTCTACAGAAGAAAAGAGCCAGGCTCCAGTACTTTCTGCCTTTTAGCCATGCAAAACGACTGGCCAAGGTCACTTAGGACCAGTGAAAAGCCCAGATGTCAGTGCGAATCCCAAGTTGGGCTCTTAGCAGTGTGGGTCCAGGGTAGAGTCTCCTATGAGAACAAGGTCTGGCCCACAGGTCAGGGGGCAGCCTCACCTTTTGGCTTAGCCTGTCACCTTGCCCTTCCAACACCCCAGCTGTATCAGCACCCACATCACAATCACTGCAGGTGCCCTGGGGATAGTCACTACAGATCTGGAGGGCTCTTCCTTCTCAGCAAAAAGGGGTGTGAAGCCCCAACTCTCCCTAGCACTTCCTTGCTCTGCCACCTTCCCTCCAAAATGGCTCTAAGACACACTTGAATTGACTCATCTGCCACCTCTAAACCCTCTGAGACCCCTGCCTGTGGGACCTGGCCCCAGCCCTCGGGGTCTCCCCACAACTTTGCCACCTGCTCTGCCCACCCAGTGGGCATCCACTGCCCTTCAAGATTCAGCTCTGAGTCCTCCTTTCTGGAAGCCCCCCCAATCCACAAGAAGATCTAGTGTCTCTTCCGTGTTCCAGACACAACATCACAGGCCAGAAAGGCCCCCCTCACTTGACTGGGACCCTCCCTAGGCCTGAGCACGAGCTCACGCAAAGGAGGCTACCCACACCCGCCTTCTTGTCCTCTGCCATACCCAGTGCTGTGCTTGTTGTGGGTGCCTGATAAACATTCAGAAAAGCGAAGGAGCCAGCCTGTGTGGCTGCCCCACACTTCCCCCCCACAAGGGAGAACTCACCTTCAGCAGATCCTTCAGCTCCTCCATGGTCTGTTTGTTGGCCACCTCGTCATGGACAGTCTGACCACAGTTCTTCACCACAGACTCCATGACCTGCAGGCCCCAAAGAAGGAAAGGATCAGGCAAATAATGAGGGCAGGGCCCTCCTCCTCCCAGGCAGATCCACTTTCCCTTGAGGCAGGTCTCCAATAGGCCCATCAGCCCACTCAGCATATGGAGACCCTGCCCAAATGCAGCATCTGAGACATGTGGAACCTGTGTTGCTCGCCATCTCGCCTGCAGTGACCCCACTCCTAGGCAGCACTGCTCACACCTGCCTCTAAGACCGAGAAGGCACCTCTTGCTTACAGTATGCCCAGGCAGGTGGGCAAAGCCAGAGGCCACCCATCACTCATCTCTGTGACATCCTGACTATGAGGGATGGGGACCCTTGACACTGGAGACCACTGAAGTAAGGGCTCTAGTTACCTCCAGGGCATACAAGGCCACATGTGGGTTCTTGTCATTGACTTTCTTCTTGATGGAATTCACAGCATATTTTGCTCTGAGAATCAGTATCAGTAAGAGCAAAGAGAAAAGGGAAAAAACACAGCAGTCTCAGTAGCAGAGATGACAAGTTTATCCCCCCACTTGGTCCCTAAGAACCCAGCAAATACTAACATAACCAAGGTATCAATAAGCTGCTTGGAGAAAAATCTGTTAAAAAAAAAA